TGCGGACTGGCAAGCTGTGCATCGGCCAAGTGCATTAAAAACGCCTGCAAGGAAACGCCCTTGGGACCGGTTTGTCTGTGTCCGCCTGGAGAGCGCCTCAATGGAACCAGCTCAAATGAGTGCATCGACATCAACGAGTGCGAAGTGCCTGGCAGCTGCAGTCACCGGTGCTTCAACGAAAAGGGCAGCTTCAAGTGCCAGTGCGAGCCTGGTTACCAGCTGGAGCACCGAACGTACTGCAAGGCACTGAACCGCACCGCCGCGTACATGGTCATCTCCAATCGGCGGTCTATTCTGGTGGCCAACATCACCAATGTGTCGCTGGAGCGGATTCCCGTCCGAGTGGAGAACGTCGTCGCCACAGCCAGTGAGATGCGCACCGGCATCATCTACTGGTACGACATGCATGCGAAGAAGATCTACCGCATGAGAAAGGGCACCAGCGAACCGGAGGTGGTCATTGGCAGCGGCCTGGACCTGGTGGAGGGTCTCGCAGTCGACTGGGTGGCCCGCAACATCTACTGGGTGGACTCGAGGCTGAAGACGATCGAAGTGGCCACCATCAACGGCACCAATCACATCATCCTCTTGTCGGCAAACATCAGCCAGCCGCGAGGAATCTGCCTTGACCCGCGAGAAGACGCCAGGGTGCTCTTCTGGACTGACTGGGGGGAGAATCCGCGCATTGAGCGCATGGGCATGGACGGTTCAGAGCGAAAGACGATCATCAGCACANGGTGGCCACCATCAACGGCACCAATCACATCATCCTCCTGTCGGCAAACATCAGCCAGCCGCGAGGAATCTGCCTCGACCCGCGAGAAGACGCCAGGGTGCTTTTCTGGACTGACTGGGGGGAGAATCCGCGCATCGAGCGCATGGGCATGGACGGTTCAGAGCGAAAGACGATCATCAGCACGAAGATCTACTGGCCGAACGGCCTGACCATTGACATTCCCACTCGGCGAATCTACTTTGCCGACTCGAAGCTCGACTACATTGACTTCTGCAACTACGACGGCAGCGGCCGACAGCAGGTGCTGGCGCACAACCACTACCTCCTCCACCCGCACTCGCTGACCGTCTTCGAGGACACGCTCTACTGGACTGACCGACAACTCAACCGAGTACTCTCCTGTCACAAGTTCAAAGGATCGAACGAGTCAGTGGTCAGCCATCTGGTCAGTCAGCCACTGGGCATTCACATCAATCACCCGCTGCTGCAGCCCGAGGCGGTCAACCCCTGCGCCAATGCGCCATGCTCCCACCTGTGCCTCCTTTCGCCGGTGAAAAAGTCCGGCTACACGTGCAAGTGCCCGCCCGGGTACTCTCAATCGGAGAGAAGTGGCTCCTCCGGTGAAGAGTCCGGCCGCTGTACGCCAATCGACACACCCTACCTGATGATCATGAAGACGACGCAAATTGTTGATCAGAGCTTGACGCCGAATGAAAAGTCGGCCGGCTTCTTCACGCCCATCATTGGCGTGGAAAACGGCTACGACTTTGACTACGACCGGGCGGAGGGATTCATCTACTACGTGCAGCTTCGTGAGGACGACAAGGAGAATGGGACGCTCTTCAAGGTGAGCCTCAACGGCGGCAACCAGACAAAGTTCCTCGCCGACGGCATCGTTGGCGCCCCGTACTGCCTCGCCTTTGACTGGCTCGGCCGTAACCTCTACATCGGCAATAAGAAGGCGTCCAATATTCTCGTGGTGAAGGCGGATGGAGCTGACAAAAACTACCGACGAATCATCCTCGGAAATGACGGCTCAGAGAAAGGCGTGGCAAAGCCCAAGTCAATTGTGCTTGATCCGCTGCAGGGCAAACTGTACTGGCTGGACGAAGGTGGCGTGGGTGTGCCGCAGAAGCTGGCCAAGGTGAACATGGACGGCACTAACCCCATCGTCCTGGTGAAGGATTCGCTGCATCAGGTGGAGGCGCTCACCTTTGACTTCACTGGCCGACGGCTGTACTTTAGCCAGAGCTACGCAGGGGTGATTGAGAGCATCGACGAGGAGGGACGAGACAGACAGAAGCTGGCGATTAAAGGTATTGCCAAGCCGCAGGGACTGTCGGTTTTCAATAGTCGCCTCTACTACCTCGACTCTGTCTACGAGAAGATTGTTCGCGTCAACTTGCCAAACACGTCCATCTCCTCGATAATCGAAGAGAACTCACCGGCTCTGAGTAACCTGAAGGTGTACGCCAAACGACCGGGAATTGAGAATCACCCCTGTCGAGTGAACAATGGCAATTGTCCGCAGCTGTGCATTCCTGATGGCAGCAACCGAAAGAAGTGCCTTTGCAGCACGGGTTACCGCATCGACAGTGCCGGCGTAAACTGCCAGCCGTACAAGTCATTCGCAGTCGTGTCACTGCTCACAAAGATGCAGGGTTTCAGCCTAGAGGACCACAGCGAGGCAATACAGCCGATTGCCGGCCCTGGACACAACATTCTGCACATTGACGTCAATGTGGTGAAGAATCACATCTACTGGGTGGAGTACAATCCGGGCGAGCGGAACGGCATCTACCGCATCAAGCCGGATGGAAGCGAGAAGATGCACATTATCGCCGACGGCATCGGCAGCAACGGTGTTCGCGGCATTGCCATCGACTGGATCGCCGGAAATCTCTACTTTACCAACGTCTTTCCGCATGAGACCTACATCGAGGTGGCCCACCTTGACGGCAGCAATCGCCTGGTGCTGGTGAAGACTACCACAGACGCGCCACGCGAGATTGCCGTAAATCCGATAAAGCGCTTCCTCTACTGGATCGACTACGGCCAATTCCCGAAGATTGAGCGTGCCTACCTGGACGGCACCAATCGCACGCCCATCGTGNCACCACCGATGCTCCACGCGAGATTGCCGTCAATCCGATAAAGCGCTTCCTCTACTGGATCGACTACGGCCAGTTCCCGAAGATTGAGCGTGCCTACCTGGACGGCACCAATCGCACGCCCATCGTGGTGACTGGCATCAGCAACCCACGTGACCTGACGATTGACATCACCACACATGACGTGTACTGGGTGGATGCGCGCGAGGACGCCATTCAGAAGGTCTCTTTCAGCGGCTCTCGACGGCAGTACGTCTGGAAGGACCTGCCCACGCCCTACGGCGCCTCCATTCTCGGTTCGCAGATCTACTGGGTGGATCGAAATCTGCGGAGCATCTTCAGGGGCAGCAAGGCGCCAGCGGACGGCGGAACGGCCGACAAGGAGATGCATCCTTTCAAGTCGAACCTGGACACTCTGCGGGATATTGTTATCTTTGATGCGCAAAACCAGCCCCCAGGAGAGTCGCCCTGCTCTCGACTGAACGATCGGATGTGCCAACAGCTGTGTTTTGCGCTGCCTGCTTCCTCTTCTTCCAGCAGTGGCTCGAGTACTCCTGACTACCGCTGTTCTTGCTCTTCCGGGGTTCTTGATCCAAAGGACAACAAAACGTGCAAGCAGCTAGACGAGTACCTGGTCTTTACTACGCGAAAGGAGATACGCACAGTCAATCTCGATCCGGCAGTGAGCAGCCCGCCACGACCGCCGCGCACCAACATGACCAACGTTGTTGGCCTCGACTTTGACTACAACCACAACCGCCTCTACTTTACCCAGATTCGCCCCGACGGAAGCATCTCTTGGTTCGACCTCAACAAGACCGAGTCTGCCAACTCTCCTGCGTCTCTTTTCACAAGCATTCTCTCCAAGGGCGTAAACCCGGAGGGCATTGCCTACGACTGGACGAACCGAAAGATCTACTGGACTGACTCGGCGAACCGAAGCATCTACGCCATGAACGAAGATGGCAGTCAAATTGTGATGATTCTGCGAGTGGAGCGACCAAGGGCCATTGTCGTCGATCCATGCGCCGGGTACATGTACTACACTGACTGGGGACGCTTCGGCAACACCGGAAAGATATTCCGCGCCACACTCGCGGGCAATCACAAGAAGGCCATCGTCGAGGAGAATCTAACGCAGCCCAGCGGCCTGGCGCTCGACTACGACGACCGGAAGCTGTACTGGACCGACGCGCTGCGCGAGAAGATTGAACGGTCGGACTTNTGATTCTGCGAGTGGAGCGACCAAGGGCCATTGTCGTCGATCCATGCGCCGGGTACATGTACTACACTGACTGGGGACGCTTCGGCAACACCGGAAAGATATTCCGCGCCACACTCGCGGGCAATCACAAGAAGGCCATCGTCGAGGAGAATCTAACGCAGCCCAGCGGCCTGGCGCTCGACTACGACGACCGGAAGCTGTACTGGACCGACGCGCTGCGCGAGAAGATTGAACGGTCGGACTTGAATGGCACCAACCGAGAGGTGCTCATCGCCGCCACCATTTACCCTTTTGCCATCACCGTCTTCGGGAAGTACATCTACTGGACGGACCTGCAGCTTCGCGGCGTCTACCGAGCGGACAAGTACACCGGTGCGGGCATGATTGAGATGGTGAAGCGACTGGAGGAGAGTCCCCGCGACATTCACGTCTACTCGCCCAAGCGACAGGCGTGCAGCAGTAACCCCTGTACGGTGAAGAACGGCGGCTGTGCGGAGAGCTGCCACCAGGCGCCCAGTGGCGGTGTGGAGTGTCGCTGTACGGCCGGCCGAAAGTTGGCCAATGAAAATCGAATGTGCGTCCCGGAGAATGCCACCTGTGATGAGAGCAAGTTCACCTGCGCCAATATGAAGTGCATTCCCCGACTGTGGGTTTGTGACGGTAATTTCATCAGTGTCTTTTTTGTGCAATTATTGCCTATTTTCATGCCGATTCTCTCTCTCTATCTTCTAGGTGATCCTGACTGTCAGGGGGGCGACGCCTCAGATGAGGCAGAGTCATTCTGTGCGGTGCACACCTGCGGTCCGAATGAGTTCCGCTGCGGTAATGGGCGTTGCATTTTTAAAACGTGGAAGTGCGGTATGTTTGCTTTTTTGTTTGTTTGCTACAAGAACTTGATATTTTTTGCGTAGATTTCGAATCTGATTGTGAAAAGGGCGAAGATGAAGAGGACTGCAGCTATCCAGCCTGCGCTGAAGGCGAGTTCACCTGCGGTAATCACAAGTGCATTCCAAAGGTGCAGCTGTGCAATGGAGTTGATGACTGTAAAGACGGCAATGCGACTGATGAAAATCACGCAAACTGCCCGAAAAACAGGACCTGCCCGGCTAACCATTTAAAGTGCACCAATACAAACATCTGCGTTGAGCCGTACTGGCTGTGTGGTATGTGAAAGAATATTTAAAAAGTTTTTAGTGATCACTAACCGATTTTTTCTTATTCAGATGGAGACCAAGGTAAGCAACAAAGTGACAATGTGACAAGGTAACAAGTTGATAATTGACTTTGATAATCACCTGAAAAGATTGCCCGTCGGGTACCGACGAGAGTGCCCTCATCTGTTCCCAGCGAACGTGCCCACCAAACAGTTTCCGTTGTCCTAATCATCGTTGTATTCCGGCCACCTGGCACTGCGACGGAGACCAAGGTAAATGACAAGATGACAAGGTGATAAGTTGATAATTGATTTTTATATTTTGATAAAGATTGCCCCGGGGGAGAAGATGAACCAGCCGAGTACTGCAAGAGTGAAAAGAGGACCTGTTTTGGCGACCTGTTCACCTGCGACAACGGAAATTGCATTCCACGCATATACCTCTGCGATAATGACAAGTAATATGATTTGTTCTTCAATCAAACACTTTTTAAACTTATTTTAAACTCTTTTTATTTAGTGACTGCCTCGACAACAGCGACGAGGATGAGCGGCACCAGTGTGATACTCGAAAGTGCGACCCAGAGCGGGAGTTTACCTGTGAGGAGAACAAGGAATGGGGAAGGGCGCAGTGTATTCCGGTAAGATTTTTGTTGATAATGTACGTTTGAAACTGACTGCTTTTATTTCAGCTGCGATGGATCTGCGATGGTGAGCCAGGTGAGTACTCCAGTAGTGGTGAAAATAGGCTAAAACTAACTTTTGTTTGCAGATTGTGTTTCGGGAAGTGACGAAAACTCTACGCTGCACGGCTGCCCGCCGCCGCCAGAGTGCGAAAAGGACCAGTTTCGCTGCAACAACCGACGGTGCATCAGCAAAGAGTGGGTGTGCGGTGAGTTTCTGCAGGTTTTAAAAACATGAGCATCCAAACTGATCTATTTTTTTGTAGATTTCGACAACGATTGCGGAGATGGTAATAGAATCGAGTGAATGGTAAAGCTCATTGGTCAATGAATAATAAAAAAATTCTTGCCACAGGTACTGACGAGCACCGGAACTGCGACTACCGAGCCTGCCACGCCACGGACGAGTTTACCTGTCGCAACGCCAAGTGCGTCAACCTGCGATATGTTTGCGACGGGGAAAATGATTGCGGTCTGTAGACTACATAAGTAACTCAATGAATACTAATGATGAGCACTTTTTCAGGCGACAACAGCGACGAGATGCTGCCCCGGTGCAACACGACCTCGGCCAGCACACACACCGCCAATGGCGGCTGTCCGGCGGGGCAGTTCCGCTGCAAGAGCGGCACACCGATGTGCATCGCCGACGAGTTGGTGTGCAACAAAAAGTTAAACTGTGATGATGGAAGTGACGAGCCGGCGCACTGTCACGTCAACGAGTGCGCCACCGTGGAGATGAACCGGTGCGAGCACAAGTGCGTGGACACGCCGGCCAGCTTCTACTGCGAGTGCAACGCCGGCTACCGCCTGGCCAAGGACGGCAAAGCCTGCGAAGACATCGACGAGTGCACCGCCGTCCGCTCCACCTGCAGTCAGTACTGCGAGAACACGCCCGGAAGCTACTTCTGCAAGTGCAATGAGACGTACTACGAACGCGAGCTGGACGGAAAGACCTGCAAGCGGCGGGACAACGTCAAGCCGTGGATCATCTTCAGCAATCGGTATTACCTGCGGAACGTCAGCATCGACGGCACGCTGTACAACCTCATCAAGATGGACCTGAAAAACGTCGTTGCACTGGACTTTGACTACCGCGATGAGTACATCTACTACGCCGATGTGGGCAACAAGACCATCAATCGAATCTTCATCAACGGCACTGGCGAGCAGAACCTGATTCGCCACGAGGCACACGGCCTGGAGGGCATCGCCGTCGACTGGGTGGCCAGGAAGTTGTACTGGATGGACCGCACTAGCAAGCACATTGAGGTGTCCGAACTTGA